ACCAGAACTACGATGGGATACGGTTCCTCAAAAAGACTTCAACATGAAACTGGAAATTCCTTAGGACCTTTTCGTGGCTCAGACTTTGGGGTTAAGGGTTCAGGGTTTGGGGTTTAGGGTTTAGGGAAAGCAAGGGATCGGCGTGAGGCGAGGATGTACGCTTGTGCCCAGGTGAACCATGAGTGCTTAACTGTTTTTTCATGTTGTCTTCCCATAGGGGAGGCCCCTGACATATCCGAAGCACTAGACTTCTTGTTTTCAGGATCCCCCGAATTTCGAGAAGTTTTTCCGTAGGAATGCTTAAGCTGAAAATTCTTTCTGATGCGCACGTCGTCGGCCAAGAGTTTTCCAGCGGATTCCTTGAGCTTTCAACCCAATCCCACCCCATTTTTCACCCCTAGTCTACGCGTTTTAGGCTTTGTAAGGGTTTAGGGTAGGGCTCTCCAAAAAGAGCCTCCGGATCATTATTGGAAACCCCCCAGGTCAATGACACGGAAAGTTCCCTCACAAATGTAGGTTGGAACATAACTTTCAGTTTTGTCGCCCATAGCCCCTATATAGTACTCTTCAAGCCATAAAAGCTGAATTTTCATATGGCTCCGCACGTACCGACCCTGGGGGCACCCAAGGACAGGACGGAGATGAGTTTCAGTGAGGTGATGTACTGGTGGCTGCAATCTAGCCAATTCGAGCTCCTAGGCAGCATTGAAGCTCTTGAATGATACTAATATCCTTAATAGCACGAATGATAGTATGAAGTAGTAATACTAATAGTTGTCAGACATAGTAATACTAGCATACAAAAACCATATTCAGCGCTCCTGGATCCGAAGTCTGTTTGCACTTCAGTTGGACATTCACTTTTGGGGCGGTTTAAGTGTGCTCAGTGTTGGGGGCCAGTTGGGGCTCAGGGATCCAGGAGTTTCCCCAAGTTACATTTAGAATCCTGCATGGGGACCTGCCAATCCGTCCGTCCGTGCTTTCATCCCCATATATCTTTTAGGGTTGCAGTGGGTCTGTTTCCCATGTACTTCCACTATTCTCAGATCAGAGTCCGCAGGAAACATTCCTTTCCCATCGAGTTGAACAACTTGTCAGTCTTTGCAGTTGCTGCCTCTTACGTCTTGCCCTTCATCACTTCCACACAGCAGCAAATATTTAGCCCCCATGCTCGCCCTGCTACCCCAATTGGAACAGGTCAGAGAGAGAGAGAGAGAGAGAGAGAGAGAGCGTGCGCAGCATTTGGGGAAAGTTCCGCGTAAGAAAGTCTCCAGTATTTGCAGGGAACGCTTGATGTGTCAACTTCTGAAAAGGGATTGCGGAACCTACATGCAACCGAATGTCTGGTTTGGGGCTTAGAGCCTGCAGGATGTGCATCATCTGCCTCCTTTGTGCCAACATCTTCTGGATGGCTCTCGAGCTACAGATCGCCGGTTCTTACAGCGCCTTCAGTGCCGGCCTGGTACCGCGACCATTCCTTGCTGAGGACTAGGTTTTCCAGAGATTAGTTGCGGACCCCTGGATAATGAAAAAGAAAATGGAAACTACTAGATTATAGGGTTATAAAGGGATTCTATAGGGGTTTAGGGTGCAGGATTTTGGTATAGTATATTATGGTTATATAAGGGCTATATAAGGATAACGGAAAAGAACCCGGAAACTGCTATAATGGGATTACATAGAGATTAGTTAGGAATTTTGGGATTGCACAATGATGGAGAAGCAACGGGACAAGCAGATGGAAAATGAAGTCGACGCTACTAGTAGGGTTCAGGGCGGTTCATGGGTTAAAGCTTTTAGTGTTTAAGGTTTTGCGCTGACTTTTGCATGCAGACATTTAAAAGGACGAGCAGCCTGCTGTGGGTAATGAGGGATTCCAGCAGGTGACGCTGGTGGGCTTTGATTGTTGGGCTTGGGGATTTGGGGTTTGGGGTGGCAGCCTCCACTTGGCTATGGTGCAGCTGCAATTGGAGAAGGTCAAATAATCTACAGTGGATGCTCTACATTATATATTGGAAATAACAGTACTGCACTATAGTTAGGTAAGGTTATAGTCCCCCTTAAGTAGACAGAATATGGCTTTGAGTATCTTATAATAGGATCCCCATATACCCCATATTCTATCTACTTAAAGGGGACTATAGCTTTTTATTATCAACAGTAGTGTAGGGTTTAGGGTTTAAGGCCGCTAAAGGCAATGCTGGGCACGTTTCCGCTTTGCTCTTGAGTGCCCTATGAGGCAAGGTAGGCGTTGCAAAGCTGAAGTGTTTGTTCTAGGCTAGGTACGCCAGTGGTACCCTTTTTCCCTTTTGATTTTGGGGTCTCCTTATTAAAGCTGAATACTAGGAAAAAGGGTAAACCCTAAACCCTAAATATATTGGGTACCATAGTATCCCCAAATTAAATATTAGGAGGTTTCTGGGGAACCTAGTAGGGCTTCAGGAGCTAAAGCCGAATGCTCAGATTTTGCTGTTTTTTCAGGTGAGGGGTGGTGGCAGGAGAGAGTTTAGGGGTTTAGGGTTTAGGGAGTTCCAAGCGCAGCTTTAAATAGGGAATTCTACTAGATCTGTCTTTCCCATGCAACAACATCATGCACGAATCACAGCTGGAAACGTGCTTCCAAGGTCCTAACCATGAGCCTCCACTACTGGGCCTGTACACTGTACCCCTTTCCTGCATCGTAACCATGGGTTCCAGGGCGCCAATGAAAGTTCGAGATGCTTGCCATGAGGGTTTAGGGTTTATAGGGCTAACAAGGCTTGGCTGAACATGGAGACCAGATGGAAAAAAGGGGTCATTGTCAGGGGGCGGGATGGAATAGCATGCCCCTGCGCCTAGCCAGGATCCCCTAAACCCTAAACCCTAAACCCTTGAGAGGTTGGGGCGCGCCGGGCTTTCCTGACCATAGTCTCACTAATAGCGTGAGTAAAACAATGTTAAGTTAATCCTGAACCCCAAGGTAGAACCAGGTACCATCCTACAGTTTCTTATAGTAGCTACTGGCATAGACAACATTAGTGTTTTGTAATTCTGCCTACGTAGTTCAAAGCAATTCCAAACCCTGAACCCCAAACCTATCTGTGGCTCAGCCCCAAAGCCTAAACCGTTCCACGGCTCATAGCCCCAAATCCTAAACCTTTCCATGGCTGATGACCCGAGCCGTATAAACTCTTCTGTGTTAGGTGGACCCTGCCCTGCAAATTGTATGGCTCCAGGACATGAAGTCAGACTTTCAGGGGGCGTTGCGGATCGTGGATGCGATTTTCTCGGGAGCTTCAGCTGGTTGCGGAATGATGTCGCAAAAGACTTAGGCATTCCTCAATTAGGGTTCCCTTTGCGGGGCCCCAAAATGCCGACTAGCAATTTGGAGTCTATGCTGGTGCGCTATCAATTATGGAAAGTGCCATTGGCTATACCCTGCATAGAAACTCTGGATCAGTCCTTCAAGTCTATTCAGTGTTACCCTAGTCAGTGGCAGTCACTTGGGATTATCTTAGCGTCTAGGTTTCTGGTTTAGGGCTTAAGGTTGAGGATTTAGGGTTTAAGCTCCGCTCTTGCATAACTGGTTCCAGGTGTAGGCTTAGCGCATCCTGACCCATGATAGCAACCCCTACGATCCCCTGATAATTTCCATGCGCCCCCACCGTGGCTTGACAAACCCCTCATTTTTAGGTTTAGGGAACCCCTGAAGCCATGGCTAGCGAGTACTCTTTTCCTCCGACTATAGAACACGCCCCAATCTGTAATCACAAGCTGCTTCTGCACTCTATCATGGGAAGAAAGGGGCACATTTCATCTTAGGGAGTCGGCACGTGTATTTGATCATAGGGAGGGGGGGATTACCGACTAGTAAACTAAAGGAGTCAATTGCTTGAACTGTTCTGGGGACGATGTGTGAGCTGCAGGAGCTTTTGTAACATGAACTTCATTGCCTGTTGCCTTGTTGGGTGCCAGGGAGCCAAGCCGTACACGAGAAACCCGAATCCTAAACCCCAACACCCATCCCTAAAGATCCAAGTATACAAATACTACCTACATTGGGCTCCAAAGTCTGTAAATATAACCTACATTGGGTTAGTTGGATCCCTGGGGCATCCTACAACCTTCTGGGATTTGGGAACCCACAGGTGCAAGTGCCTGGAATTCAGGACTTGGAGAACTATGCTGTCACCCTTGCTGCGGAAAGCATGGCTGTTGGAGGTGGTCTATTCTCTCACACGCACACCAATGGACATGGACCATACCTACTAATTACTAATTACTATACGTTTTAAATGCTAGAAGTAGACTTCCTAAGACCCCCTGAGCCTCCAAGTATTGCTACAGGAGAAGTTTAACTTTCCGTAGAGGCATGAATCCGGCATGAACCCAAGCGAGCACATCCGGAGGTGAGTAATAAACTACCCTTGCAACAGCGCCCGCACACCCCCACAGAAAAGTATTCACAAGATGGTATGTTATATATTGTTTTTTTTGGTAGGTAAGTGGGGAAAGCTATTGTGCAAGGGGGCCTCATCCTTTATGCAAAAACCTTAAGCCTTAAGCCACCTTGAACCCTAAATCCTAACCCTAAATCCTAGCCCTACACCATAAATCCTATACCGTGAATTGTCAGAGCTCAGGACTGTTCCTCCTGGAGGTCTCTGTGCGCATTGTTTCTTGACGGAGAGCTAATTAGGATATAGGGTTTAGGGTTGCGCTGTTGGCGACTTCGCGCATTAAGATCAGCCCTTTTTGCCTGTGTAATGAAACCCTAAACCCTAAACCCCTAAACCCTGTACCCCTAAACCCCTAAACCCTAAAGCACTCTCAATTTAGGACTCCACCTTTCTAAACTCAACGCAGCCTTAAGATCCCAAGCTGCCTTTGGCCCTGTGAGTTTTAAGAGACGCAGACTATGAAAACACCTCAGGTTTAGGGATTTAGGGCTTTAGGGTTTAGGGGTTTAGGGTTTAGGGTTAACCTCAGACGCCAAGGTTGTTCTAGGCAAGCAGTTTTGGATGATGTGGATGAATTACGCGGACCTGCTTGTCAGTTTGGTCTCTCGGCCACCATTCAGCCACTAGGAGCTTCCAGACCCTTGGGGTTCCCAAAGGGCTTTAGGGCTTTTGTCAGGTTTGCCTTCAAGTTTGCCTTGTTTTTTGTGGGAGCTCTCGCATGTGCCGTTTTGTTGTGAGTGCTTCAGCTTATGGCGATGAAGGAGAATGCCTTTGAGTTTGGTCCTGCCAGCCGCTGAGGTATCCGCCGTTGAGGTCATATCTTCCTTGCTGGTGATTCCAGTCAGCACACTGCTCAGTTTGGGGGTTTCCAAGATCAGATGTTACTTCTTAGTTAGTCCCTACAAGAATAGGATTAGATTGTTTGGGGTATATAATTGCGACGCATATCTCTGAAAATGTTCTTCTGTTTGTGCCTGGTATGATGGTCAAGCGGCAGTTGAGTAGTATTTTATTTGGGGATACTATGGTACCCATTATAGAGTAAGATTATATCCTCCTTTTGGGGTATAGTATTTTATATAAGGAAAGTAATCTTACTAGGTTCAACCACCCAAAAGAACGCTACTCAGTTGTCGTTAATACGTCTGACCGAAATTGTATTTGCAAGATTGACTGTACCGAGAAAGTATTTCAAATCAAAGGGAGTTACAGAAGGTGTTCACTTCTTGTTGGTTGTTGCATGGCGGTCAGCTCGCTGCTATGCGGACAGTTCCAGCAGCAAACAGGAATGCCTTAAAAGCCTAAAGATTGTACTAGCACTGCATAATTCTGGTATAAGGTACAGCCCACTGACAACTATTCCCCTAAGCCCTAAGCCCTAAACCGCGTTGGCAAATTCTTTGCATTTACCAAGGTCAGGCCCAGAAGCTGACACCCAAACCATTAATCAGAAAAAGTGCTTATACATGAAGTTTAGGGATATATGGACGATGGAAAAGAAAATAGAAGCTACTATATAGGGAGAGGGTGTAGGGTTTATAGTCCCACTTAAGTGGATAAACTATGGGTTATAAGGGGATCTTATTGTAAGATACCCAA